CCTTTTTTTTTTTTTTTTTTAGTTTTGCATTTCTAATTAGTGACAGTATACTCAATAATCAATATAAGACGTTACTTCTCCAAAATTGAGCATCAGCGAGCTGCATTATTCACTAAAATTATACTTCTACACGTCCCTTGCCTTTAAAACATAATAACAATAATATCCTTGTCAAATAATAATCACGAAGTGAGAAGAATTATTATATAAAAATACTACAAATCATAAAAATTTTAGATTAAAAAATAATTGCAAAATAAAGTTAAAACTCAAACAAAATAAAAATAAAATCGCGGTATAATTAATCCCAAAATTAATTATCTCGAAATTATAATATTTTTTATTCCTGTGAAAGGGAGAAATAACTAATCTTAGTAGGATAACTTGGTTTCCAACCAAACAACCTCTTATCGTAAGACAAGAGTCACAGAAATTGTTATCAATAGTCACAAAATGGGCCTCCCATATTGGGCTTTCAAATGCTTGGGCCTTCAAGAAATAATGATCCAAAACGAAGAAAACTCGAAAAAGGGACAATTACCATTGAATACACAGTCCTCCGTCAGCACATTGTACAAAGGTTGGTGGAGCTCGAACCTTAGTCTCCGTTTGGCTAACACACCAAAAAAATGGAGACAGACATACTGATTCAACTAATTATCCTCCTTTTCACACTCGGAATTTTCTATGCCATGTACAATTTCCCCAAACAAGCTCTAACCCCACTCCGATCAAAAAACCGATCCACTAACCAAGCCCATATCCACTTCATCAAAGGAGCCCAACTCCTCTCCCGAGCAAAATCCAATCGGAATAAATCAACTTCCTTCAATCTCGCAAAATCCGCCGCCGGCGAAGCTGACAAAGCTTTAGCTCTCGAACCCAAAGATCCAGCGGCCCATATTCTCAAAGCCTTATCTCTAGATCTCATGGGCCGTAAAATTGCTGCTTTGAAGTATTTGGATTTGGCCTTATCGCCGCCGGCGGTGAAGGCGTTGTCCGACGGAGAGAGAGGCGATGCTTTATTGAAACGGGCCGAGTTGCAAGTGGCGTTGAATCGGAAGAGACGAGTTGACTCGGCTATGTTGGACCTTTTAGAGACTGAAATTGGGCTGCTCGGATCAAGCTAAGGCCTTTTGTTTGTTGGGTCAGTGTTATGAAATGAAGGGGTTGAAAATTGAGGCCCAAAATGCTTTTGAAGAAGCTTTAAAGATTGAGCCTGATTTAGTTGCGGCCCGTGAGGGTTTGGGCCGCTTAAGTTAGTGAACCATTTTATTGTTGATTGGGCCTTGTTGTTGATCGGCCCGATGTTGTATAGTTTTGTTTTCATATGAACTCCTTCTTTGTTCCTTTCACAATTGACCATAGTAATTAGAGGGATTTGACAATTTTAAACTTTAATTACATGGTCATTTATATTAGGAATTGTATAAGGAATATCAGTTTTTTCCTTATCCCTTTATACTTGCCCACTCTCTCTCAGTCTCTGTCTCTCTCTCTCTTCGTCTCTCTACTCTTCTTCTATATTTTTTCCTCCAATTTTTCTTCATTTGATGTTCTCTGTTTTTTTATGTTTTCTTGTTGTATAAAATTTTAATGAAATTCATGAATTTCAATTGTTTTAACTTAGCAAATTCTTTTCAAATTGAAATTGTCAATTAATAAATTTTAAAGGTATTTGACTCTCCACTACTGACAACCATTAAAAAGTTTTGAAGTTTTGAAATCGAATTTGGATTTTCAAAAACCATTATTTATTTGGATCGGGTGTTGTTGCAAACAATTGAGAATATTGTTTGGAGTTTATATCTCAATTTTGAGGGTGTTTTTATGAAGATTAGACTTGATTTTGGCTGAATTTAAATTGAAACTCGATGGGAAGAAGAAGAATACATGACATACAATATACCTACGAAATTGTAGTAATGTTGTATTATAATTGTATGTAAAATTGTATTATGTTGTAGTTATATATATATTTTTATTTGAATGTTGTATGAAAGTTGAAAAATAGTTGTATAATGTATGAATCGTTGTATAAAATTTGTATTTAAGTTATCAATACTATCTTTTTACATAAAGTTGTTGATATGTATCAAAATTGTATTAAGAGAGTAAGTTTTGATTGGAATTTTAGAGAGGAAAAAGCACACACCACAAACAAAATATATACGAATCAGATACAAAATATATACAAAAGATATATTGTATAAAAATTGTATTTAAGTTGTATGATATTGTAGTTGTATTTAATTAGGTAGAAATAATGTATGAAAGTTGTAGATAAGTTATAAATAAGTTGTATAATATATAATTAGTTGTACGAAATTTATTTTTACTATATATAAATTAGATACAAAATAGCAAAAGACATATTGTATAAAATTTGTATAATAATTATATTTAAGTTGTATGATATTGTAGTTGTATTTAATTAGGTAGAAATAATGTATGAAAGTTGTAGATAAGTTATAAATAAGTTGTATAATATATAATTAGTTGTACGAAATTTATTTTTACTATATATAAATTAGATACAAAATAGCAAAAGACATATTGTATAAAATTTGTATAATAATTATATTTAAGTTGTATGATATTGTAGTTGTATTTAACTGGGTAGAATTAATATATGAAAGTTATAGATAAGTTGTAAATAAGTTGTATAAAATATAATTAGTTGTATTAAATTTATTTTTACTATGTATGTTTTTGTAGATATTCAAATTTGTATTAAATTTGTATGAAATTTATTTTTAATTTGTATGTTGATGTACCATATATTATTCTTAGAGATAGAGATTTTATGTGTTTTGTTTGAATATAAATATGCAATGAAGTTTAGATTTAGTAGAAGTTCTATTTTAGATCTTGCTAAAATCCGTTCTAAATCCTCCTTAACTTTCTATATAAAACAGTTCACACTATGCAATATGCAGTTCAAAAACTATAACCAAAATGTGCAATTTTTTTTAATAAAAAAATTTAAAATAAATAAATAAACTTGCAAGTTTTATTAGTTTGCGTGTGATTCTTCTTCAACAATATCTATGAAATAATAAGTAAAATTTATTTCGATAGTAATGTAAGATACTATATGTGATGTCAACAGTGAGCTCTTTTCTTTGGGATAAGTCACAATTATGATTGTAAATATAAACCTCCCACTACTCATCACTATTATGATTGTAACTCTCACACCTCCTGTCACGACCCAAACCGATGGGTCGTGACGGGCACCCGATGCCTTACTCAACCGAGTACCAACGTACTCTATCTTTCATATCGTACTATCATTGGTTAAATGGGCCAAACGGGCCATTATGGGCTAACCAGAATAAACATAGAACGACCAAACCTGATATAGAAACTTACATACGTGACATACGGGCCTATAAGGCCAACATGATCATTTGTAAATTCAAAACATAGGCCAACAAGACCGTACAATCTTTCACGTATACGACATATGTCTACAAGCATCTAAGAGTACATAAATGTCATAAAGATTTGGAGATGGTCCCGCCATACTAATCAGTACATGTCCTAATCATACTGACTACAAAGCAACTTCGGAACAAATGGAGTGTACCAACATCTTCCGCTGAGCTGATCGCCTACTTGGAGGACTCTCGACCTGTCTATCGAGACCTGCGGGCATGAAATGCAGCGTCCCCGGGTAAAAGGGACGTCAGTACAAATAATGTACCGAGTATGTAAGGAATAAAAATCAGTAAATAATAGACATGAGAGAAACATGGAGTAAAAAACTCGACATGTACGTCTGTATAGCTCTGTGAATCATTTTATTTTTATAACGTCACTCATATGCGTATAAATGTCATACCATGCATAGGTATATGTGTTCATAATATCATCAAGCCTCTGAGGGCATCCCATCCTATTATTTCGGCCTCTGTGGGCAAATCATCAACGTATACCAGCTGATCAGGTGATGGTGCGTATATAATGCCATAACCTTTTTCCATATCCCATATACATATAATATACATATATATGCGTATATAACGCCATCTGGTCATAGGTCAATGTATATGTATAAATGCATGATATGCATAAGAAATACGTTAATAATATTTTCTCGGAATGTCATAAAAATAATATGCCTTAAGAAATACGTTAATAAGATTTTCTCGGAATGTCATAAAAATAATATGTTTGTCAGATAAATTTTATCAAATACGTATTTTTTTGAGACACATGAACAGAAGATATAATAATAAGTCACATGGGGAATCAAGAATATAGACACCCCTGATATTTCTATGAATAGATTCGTTTATAGAAACTGTGCGTTTGCTCGTTTCTTTGAGTATCATTTGGGTCATGCCAAAAAGAAAGAAGGGATAGCCTTAACGTACATGGAATAGGAAAAATCCATATAATATCCTTGGAAAAGATTGCACCGTACTTCTTTAGAACCGCAAAATTTTACGTTGCTACGATTCTAACAATTCTTGTTGGAATTGTTTTGGTTGCAAGAGTTTTGTTGAAAGCTTACTAGATGGAGTTTGAACCGTAATGTCTATGAAACCAATTCTAGTTTGAAAGTGTCTTGCATAAGAATTTAGGAAGAAAACCAAACTTTGTAATGTTATGACACCAAGCTTATAATATCTTACTCTTACTTACACGTAAGTGCCTTATAACTTTAGATGGCCACTAAGCTAATATGACTAAGAGTCATAGGTCATAGTAGTGGCTTGCTGTCACGTGGGGTGGGGGTGGGAATTATTAATCTTTATCCACTTATTAGGCAATTAGATAATATCCCTTTATCCGGTAATTAACTAATTATCCGCATAATTAAGAATTATCTCGAATTATTTAAAAAACTACTCAATTTTAACATACTTTATACACCTTACTATCATGGTCATGTAGTACCTTGTATGGTACTAGTTCATAAATACGGGGTATTATAACTTGGACCATATTTTATCCCAAATTGTCAAACTTTGACGAAACTCATTTTCTTCGATTTGCTTACCCTCGCACCTTCACGAATTTACTCGTCACTTGTTTGAAATAGCATAATGCTTATAATCGCAAAATAATTCCATTCCCGAATTTACGTCGATTAACTTACGACGAAACTTTAACGTACGAAAATGCGGGATGTAATATTTTATTTTCGAGCTTTCATTAATTTATTTATGGCGTACTTTCACATACGAAAATATGGGGTGTAACATCATTTCCCCTTATGGAACATTCGTCCTCGAATGTTGACTGATGCACTTATCATTTTTGTAACTTATGTCTTTTGAATACTTTAGTACTCTCCTTGCCATCTAGGCAATTGTTCTTTGAATAAATCCAAAGGCCAGGGCATTCCCCCCTTTAGGCCTCTTTCTCACACCATGACTTATGATCAGAATCCTTCTAATCTCGTAACTGTTGTTACCTTCTATCATGCAGCCTGTACGACTTTGACCTTGTAAGTGCGCCTATGCGACTCTTCTCCCCCTTTTCCCCCAACTTTTGGCCAATCTCTAGGCCTCACTTTGTAAATATATACAGAGCTTGACAAGATGTCCCTCTGGGCATCTATAGGTATACTGAAGTTCTTCGCTCGGTACTTTGTCGAACTTATGATTATTGTTATATCTTATTTCATAGACCTGATTATCCATCCGTATGACTTTACTGCATCAAGGTAGGTCATATTATACTATACTTTTACTTTGTTTTATCGTTACTGAGGTCTGCTACCAAACTCCAAACTACTTTCGTTACTTATCTCATATGTATAAATCTATGTTCTTTAATGTTTCCATATTACTGTTCATCTTAAGAATGACGGCCTAATCTCATCTCATACTTTATAACTTTTATCCATCCATTGTTGATTCACCCCAATATTGATCTATAATCTACCCCTGATAACTTAACCTTTTATGTAACACTGTCGCTAGGGTCCCCGTTTCATCGGGGAAATATCTGAAATGATTAGACTGATCCACCTAGGGCTATACCATGCTTTCATAACCGTATCTCATAACATCCCAATGTGATTCACCTTGCGCGGGTATTTTAATCATGTCCAATTTAGGAGATCCCTCTCTTTTCTTCGTCAGATCATTACTCAATCAAAGGCCCAAACGTC